ATACTGCAGATGTGTCTTAAACTAGGACGAAACAGCTTTCCAATACTCTCTGGTTTTCAGTAGTTCTTTAACTGATATCAAGCTTGGAAATTTATTCGCTCCAGATTTAAATTGTCCCGTGTCTTGACTGTGTAGAATAAATAAAAATGCAACCAATCTTTTTATACCTTAAAGTGAAATCATAATAATACTTTCACAATTAAAATCATTGCATAACATTCTTTGACTGACTTCGTAATTATTACTTATTGCTAATTCGATCTGATTGGTCAGCAGATCTGTATCCTGATTGGTTGCACCTCGATTTGTGTAAATTGCTTATTGGGTTTAATGTATTACCTCTTCGCCTAGGTGTTAGCTAGCCCAGAATTCTCGACTGGTTTGAACCCAATATATGAGTGAAACAGCCATCCGGTGTGTGAATATTGGTGCGGTACCTAACTACTCATTTCAACCAATCAGTAGTATGTAGTGCCTTGCATTTATTTTTGCTTTATTGATAACTATTCATGTTATCAAACAGGTCGGGTTTTGAATAATCTTGGTTTCTAAAGGAAACTGCAGTGGAACTTCACCTCATACTGAAGTATGTAATTTGCGAATCGCTAATTTGATTAGAGCAACGTCACTGAGACCCCTTCCCTTTTGTTCACTTAGTCCGTAAATAGATTCATTCGACATGTGACGTCCTCAATTGTCTCTTCTTTATCTCGCTTTCGATGATTAATAGTAGGAAGTGTAGTTTGGAAAGGGTTTGGGGTGACCCACTCCCCGGGGGCTGGACAGGACATTAAATATATGAATTTAAATTTTAAACTTTCTTATTATGCTTTGTGTTAGTAAGTATTACGGGGAACTTTAAACTTCTTTAGTATAGAATTAAAGTTCTCTATTCAAGTTTGTAATTTACCCTTTGTATATATCTGACCGAATAGACCAGCTTCATTTTTGGTATATGGGCTCGTTTGAACGGCTTTTTAGTCGTATCCAGCCTGCCTGTTTCGTCCTATCGGAGGCTCGTCACCTGGATGTAGGTGCATACATCTCCAGTGAGTGATGGTGTTTCCACTGAGATCACAAATTTTGAAGAGGTAATTTCAAATCTTACCTGTTACGTAAGAGGTGGCTATCTTGGTCCAGTGGCGCCCAGTGGATTTTACTTAAGTGTTTAAGGCAATGGTTGCCTAGTTCGAATCTCAGTGGGAACACTGTTTCACTCACTGGAGAGTGGGTGCACATATTTGGAGTTAACTTATGAAATCAGTGAATAACATCACTTGCTGAAGTCACTTATGATTGTCTTAAGCTCTTTAAATGGGTGTTTGAGGCGTATTCGATCTTGACATTTACAAGATAGTTGAATATGTTCTATGAGAAGAGCATTCACACCGTACTTTGCTTTGATTACAAATCTCTTTTTGTGTTTTTTTCTCCAATCCTTCCATTTCGAGCTGTTCATTTTGTAGTTGTCTATGTGTATGTAGGATATATCTCACTTATAGACAAAGTTAGTTTTGAATTCTTTCAAGTCATTATTTATGTCCTGTGAATTTGGTTGATTTATTGATTATATTGGACTGAGATGCTCAGTAGTATCTGCTGATATGTCGGTGCTTACCTTCTATGGACACGTAGATGACGTCCGAAGATTAATATGCTGTTATTCAGTTGGTTTCAAATTTTACCACGGATTGATATTAGTTGAAGAAACCATTGTAAACTACCAGAGAGTACTGCATAGCTGTCTCATCCTAGTCTGCGACCCTCCATCAGTACACACACACATGTAACTCCACCGATAAGGATCGAACCTTGTGCACTTAGGCTATAACGCAGGCCAACTCGCTGACCATTCATTCACTACTAATTCTAACTTCTGCCAAGATGCGCATTTCGTCCCATTTCTGGGCTCATCAGCTAGATGTACCTGGATTCATCTCAAGTAAGTGACGGTGTTGTCATGGACACTTGAACTTAGCACTTATTGTTTCAAGCTTCAAATTGCTATTCACTACCAGGTCAGTATATCTACATCCGCTGTCGATATGTTAATAAACTTGGTTATTGATAAAACCATCCATGATGGATATATGAAATCTTGAAAAAATAACACTTAAGTAGTTTTTATACTGTATATATTTGTGTACTTTACAATATCACAGTGTGTAAAACTGATTTAGACAGTGTATTTATTCTACTCTACTAGCTAATTAATCTGTGTTATTTAATTGAATTTTGAGATTTTTCCGTCGATTGATTGGACCGAAGTGCTCGGTCTCAGGTTGACATGTTTATCGGCTTCTTGTGCAGATGCTTCGACGATGTCTAAGCATATAATTAGAGGTTAATTGGTGGATGGTGATACTAGCAGTGGTGGAATCCAGGATACGCATTTCGTCCTATTTGGGACTCGTCGGCGGTTGGATGTACCTGCATTCCGCAGTGAGTCATGATGCTAGTCACCATCCACCAATTAACCTCTAATTATATGCTCAGACATCATCGAAGCATCTGCACAAGAAGCCAACAGACATGTCAACCTGAGACCTAGAACTTCAGTCCAATCAATCGACGGGAAAATCTGAAATTCAATCAAATAATTAACATGACGCGTCACACAAGATGTGGCTCTCGTGGCCCAAGTGGTTTAGTGGATAGTGCTTTGGCGTCTGAAACTATGGACACTGGTTTCGAGGCTCAATGGGAACACAGTCAACACTCACTGGGGAATGCAGGTACATCCAGCCGCTGACGAGTCCTAAATGGGACGAAGTGTGCTTCCTGGATTCCACCACTGCTAGTCACCATCCACCAGTTAACCTCTAATCTGTATTATGTTTATGAACCGGTTCACCTTGACTTCTTCCTTCTCTGTGTTTAATCTAACATTCTTGTATTTCCAAGTAGTTTCTATTTGCATTTTCTAAGGAAGGATAACAGTGAAATCATTTGTCTGGGCTAAAACTCGTCTTCATTATTATTATTATTATTATTATTATTATTATTGTAAATGGCATTATTGTGTCTAAATCGGGATGGTATATCTTTTTGAAAATATGTGTTGAAAAAGACAACATAATCCAATGTGTTATTATATTTGAACTTCATTTCTGTTGTTTAGAAAATTTAACCATCTAGGGAGTATTGCTAAAAAGCGTTTCTTCATCGCTATTGCCAGCTAACAATTGAACTCATAAATTGTTGTTGTTTAAACCTTGTTTACTGATGAGAGTGAGTCACATGTATGTTTGTATGTTGTTCTTAGCGGTCTGCTTACAATTAACTGAGTGTCTATCAAAATGCAGTATACACTGACTCTTATTCATATGGTTTCTTGTGGTCATCCAATTATGTCCATAAGTCGTGATGTGTATTCACATCGTCCTTCCCCACCCATTCCACCTCCCTCCTTCTTTGTCAAATAGATCAAAACCTATTAGGTGGCTTGCAGAAAGTCAGCAGGAAACTCTGCCGGACCTAGATTTCGTGCTTGTTGACACACTTGTCAGCAACCTTGAAGAAACTTATATCTCCTGTGAGATTTTTTTTAACCCGCGTCACACAGTGCTGTAATCAGAAACTTTACCACTGAACTATTCGGAGTCATGGTCGATCTCTTGTATGGCTGTAATGGATACATTTGTACACCTGTAAACCGCCTGATATCAATGGTTGGCCTGGTAAATTTGGGCTACCGATATCATATGCTGAAAATTTCATACTTGTATCAAAAATACTGCATGGAGTCAAGCTATAATAAATAAAATAAAAAATATCGGTTCAGAGGGTCACGTGATATAATTTTATCTGAATCAACACCAAGAACTAGACGCCGGACGATGGTTTTATATCCTAACGACTAATCAATGTGTAGATTACGACCTATACTGGTATGAAGTCTTCGATGATATTAGATGGTTGGAGGTAATCGGCGGGAAGCCTTGCCTGACCTAGGTTTCGTGTTAGTTGGCACTCACCAGTCAGCAAGGCATATCTGCAACCAACTTGAAGGAACTCATGTCCCTTCTGAGATTCGAACCCGCGTTACCCAGTGCTGTCGGCAGTCAAAGACGTTACCATTGAGCTATTTAGACTCGCGATTGACCTCCTGTAGGACTGTATTGGACACTTTCACTGGACACTAGTAACTAGTGTCTTCGATGGCAACGGGAGAAAATCGTTCTAGACTATTAGGGTGTACTTCAAGTGAAGTATTATATTGATTATTTCTTTACTTGAAGATTTTACACTAAAAGTAAATACTTTTCAGTAAGATAGAGAAGGGAGAAAGAGAGAGTAAAACATGTTACTCACTTTTAAAATAACTTGGGAAGAATTGTGATTCAATCAGCTTAAAGACTTGACTTTCAGCCAATAGGCTCCAGGCCTGAATCCCATTCCACCTCATCTTCAGCCTGTGGGGCAACTGAGTAAAATTATCAGTATCTCAAATGTTCACCTTTTTTTGGGGGGGGATTTTCTTCATTCCTTGAGTTCCAAATGGAACGAACTCTGTAGTTGCTTTAGCGATGGTCTTGTTCCCCCCCCCCGCCTAGGCTGGTGGGGCTTTTATCCTTCTTTCTCTCTCTCGACCTTCTCTCTTTTTCTGGTTTACTCTCGGTTAGTCAACTAGGCGAGGCATTGGAGTACGTCGTCTGGGAATCTCGTCGTCTAATCGGCGTACATTCTACCACTGAATCGCTACTAATCCAGATTTGACTGAGTCCTCCTAACTGTAACACCTAACTAATTAGATATGTGTATGTATGTATGTAAATGTGGATTTCACTGAATGGTATAATAGATGTCATTCCTGTTTGTTTTTGGCAATTCTCACCTGTGACTTTTTTATTGTTCAGAATATTTATTTTCAGTCTAAACGCGCAATTGATGTTTTGCTGTTGGCATTTTATATATGTGTTCTGACAATAAATAGTCATCATTGTAATTATTAATAGAGTGTATCTCTTTTTGTGTTTTCGTTATTTTTATATCTATAGCTAGTATGCGTAAAGAAATTGATGTACTGATTAAAGAGAATATGGATCTTGTGGAAACGAAGTAAGTTGTTTTGTCTTTTTTGTTTTTCTTCTCATTGTTGTTCTTTTATGCTTCATAACCTCGTCGATTGATTTCTCCTCCTTACCACCTTACACTCTACCGAAGACTTACCTCAATATTGCTCACCGAATTATATCACTTAATATGGGAGATAGAACGCAGACACCCATGATCAAAGACAGCTAGCCTGGAGGATGAAACGGACTCCTAAGCAGTAAACACGTTCTTTGGTCGACAGCCAGTCGGATATTATGTCTACTAAGCAAGAGATAGCGTAAGTTCGCGGGTATATGCCAGACGAGCCTTCTGTATCCGTGCTGAGATTTCGTCAGTTACCAACTCCCTGGTATTGGCCTGATGCAACTCCTCAAATGAGTGAAGTGGGCAACACACTCTACCGCTTCATTCCTGCCTGTCTTTAAGCTAGGAGTCAATCTAGTTCTGTGGCATCATCGTACATCTGACAGCTGGAGCGAGTCGCGTGCCAAACATTCGAAGATTGCTGCCTGTCAAGGTGTTCAGAAGACTCTGCTCTATTTTGTCAGCGTCTTCACCTAGGAGGGAGGACGATATCATTGGCATATTCTAAGTCGACGAAATTTTTAACTGGTGATAACAAGTCATTCTTATTTAAAAGTGACTAGTTTCCGTTCTTTGCTGTCATTTCTCAATGGTTCATTTCCTCGTCATATGATATTGATGTCACCCCTAGACACTTGACTCATGCATCAATACCCCTTTGGACTCAACTCTCTTGAAAATGAATAGTTTGATGTTTGAGTTTTACTCAGGATACGCATAGGAACAAAGTAGTAGAGAATACGAAATTACGTAAGAGTTCTAAATGAATACAAGAATTATAAGCCATTAAAGAAACAGGCAAACAAACAAAATTAACTATTTAGTTGAATTTTAGATCCTCCTGTCGATTGATTAGACCGAAGTTCTCGGTCTCAGGTTGACATGTATGTTTCTTGTGCAGATACGATCTCTGGGCATGTATTTAGAATGCAGGTACATCCAGCTCGCGATTCACAAATAGGGCAAAATGCGTATCCTGGATTCCACTGATAGTCACCATCCGCCAATTAACCTCTAATTATATTCTCAGACATCGTCGAAGCATCTGCATAAGAAGCCGACATGTCATCCTGAGACCGATCACTTCAGTTCAATCAATCGTCGGGAAAATCTAAAATTCAATGAAATAATTAATATGACCCGTTGCACAAGAGGTGGCTCTTGTAGCTCAAGTGGTCTAATGGATAACACTTTGGTGTTTGAAACTATGGGCACTGAGTTTGAGGCTCATTGGGAACACAGTCAACACTCACTGGGTGATGCAGGCACATCCAGTCGCTGACGAGTCCCGAATAGGACGAAATGCGCGTTGTCCAGGATTCCACCACTACTAGTCACCATCCACCAACTAAACAAAATAAGCTATTCATATTATTACAGAATTTCTTTTTAACAACTTTTTGACAACTCATCACTTTTGTTACTACCATAATTTCATTAACACCCAATTTTCTTGACTGAATTTGTATTACGTAACTCCAATTAACAATCTCTTGAATATGTCCTCATGCGTATGTCCTATCCATCTTGACTTCCGTCTGCATATTTGCTGGTTGGTACGTCGCTCCCCCCCCGTCACCCTTCGCGAGTTCTTCGTTACTTGTCTTCTGCAGCCAGCCATTAGTATAGAGTGAAGGCGGCAGGTGTTGATAAAAGTCTCGAGTAGCCGCCTATTGGAAATGCTATTGATGACGTACGGATCTAGTGTGTGAAATGTATAGAAAGCGCTCATCTGCTTTACATGCATACATATTAATCGAAATTGGAATCTTTTTCGTTGTGATATGTGCTGTATTGATTTTCACACTGTTTTCGGAGTAATGACAACCTATCTTGCTTACCCTATCTTGTCTGGCTTAGATATACCCACCCGTGCCTCATGTCTATAGTTGAAATGAAGTCGCCATGGTCAAAGTGAAGGCGACGACTACCTTTGAATCCCTCGCCCCCTTGGTGATGATTGGTATTTGTTATTGTTGTAATTGGTTGGGTATCTAAATCACCTCTGTCTTCTGTGTATTCACCTGAATTCTTGTCTTCAATGCCTCTTTTGTCAACTTGTTGGGTTTCACCATTAAGTCTTAGATTTTGTGGGATTTCAGGCATAAATCACCTACAAATTCCCAGATCTTTTAGGGTCTTTCTGTCATTCCAACGTATGCCTGTCTTTTCACTAGCCAATATCTGCTGTTTGATCCAGTCTACCACAATTAGGAAGATGATCGGTGATAGTAGATATTTTTGTCTCACTCCTATTTTCACATCAAAGGTTTTACTGAACCCTCTTTTTAGCTCGGTACTGTCGCAATACTTGACTGCAAATAGAGAATATAGAAAGTAGAGCGCACTAATTAAGATAACCCACTTGGACCGATAACGCTTTTTAAGCGTTTATGCGTAGTTATCATAATAATCGATGGCAACTAATGATATCCATCAGAGATGTCCAATGTGAATATTTTTTTCACCTAATTTCATTTATAATTGTACTAATGGAGGTAACTTAGGGAAACGTTTTATCTATTCAGAGTTTGTTGACGATGTTGTCCTCCTAGGTGAAGACTTTGATGTAATACAGTTTTCTGAAAACCTAGTAGGCATTCCCATACAATTCTTGCCTATCACATGCGTGAGGTGATGCTGTAGGACTTCTCTGCACCAACTTCTAATCGAAGCTATATGGAATGAAATGCTTGATCGTGCGTTAACCAAGTCAAATTGAAAAAGTTCATGGAGGCTTCACTGACTAAGATGACTAGTAACTGTGTTAACCCTTCTGTCGACTGAATCATTACGTTCCTTAATGACTAATCATGATCGGAATAGAAGTATGTTGGAGCAGTTGTGTAGAGAGATGTGGTTAGTACTAGTGAGCATAGTCCATTAGTCCCTAACTTCTTTGACTGTTGATATGAACCACTTTGAGTAGGTGTTGACTATCTGATTATAGTTATCAAGAATCTAAAAGTCGAAGGATTTCATCATGAGCTGATATCAGTTAGAAAACCATTGGAAACTAACCACAGGGAGTATTGGACACCCGGCTGTTTCCTTCGTCCTAGTTTGAGACTCTTCACAGCACGCACCCACTGGGGTTTGACAGAAGTTAGAATTCATGGACTGACCATTGGATTGGGTCCCAGGGGCTTAATGCTCTACGAGCTAGCTGACTGACCTTGTGACCAGAAGATCCTGGGTTCGAACCCTACTGTGGTGGGTGAGTACTGCTGAAGAGTCCCAAACTAGGACGAAGGGAACAGATGGCTGTCTAGTACTCCCTGTAGTTGTTTTCCACTGGTTCTCTAACTGATGTCAGCTCATGATGAATTCCTCTGACCAATTAAACAAACAAAATTCCCAACAAAATCAATACTTGAAAATCTAAGAGGCAATTGTTGTTGGAGGCTACTGTTGATAATCTGTTACTCAAAATCGTTCTCTATATGGCTGAGATGTACTACTCACACTTTGGTTATTTCATTGATCTGGAATTGTTCATTCATATTTATTTGATGATCCTTTTAACCAAAAGCCTGTAAGAGCATCTTAATCTAATGATTAAAGACTGTTTTCTATGGGGTTGTGTGTATACTGACGACACAAAATGAGAAGATAATGAGATGAGTATTCTTTCTTTTTATCTTATCAATTTTTGTTTGTTTATTTGTTTTGTCCGCCATTATCTACACTTGGAAACACGTGCCACAGGCACACGCACTCACACACGTACACGTAGACGTCTTCACTGCTGTATTTCTACTTTTAATCAATAATTACGTCCTTCCATCATCATCATTGTTGAAAAATCAGTTGTATTTTATGTATTACGGTAAACATGAGATGCAGACATATAGAGATAAGTTATTTGTTTAATTAATCCTACTCTGTCTCCATTCCAATCACATGATGTCGCGACTACCAGTAGAACCCAGAAGGTTGCGTAAGTCGTCGTCCTGTTCGGTGTAATACGACTTCACCCACAGAACCCCAATAAATAGTGTAGGCGGTAACTACTTTTGTCTAGTCGCCAACCAGACAAGCTTTCTGGTACATGAGATGACCTGCAAAAACATTTATTCTAGTCAGCGTGTAGGTGATTGGGTCATTGTGAAATGCAAACCCAACGTCTACGTTAAGATGGGAGTTATTTGGTGGGCTTTTCTCTTCAACTCAAAGTGGATGTCTAGAAGTCGAAGTTGGTTACAACTTTGTTCCTCATGTTTATATAACACGAGTATTATTTGTAGTGTGCTCAGTGAGGTTTATTCACCTGACATTCCACATCATCATTATCATGCTTTGTAGTAGAGGAGACGTGGCTCATTATCAGCGTAAGCACTTTACTATCAATCAAGTTGGCCCCGGGTTCGAATCCCACTTCACCCAATATATATATGGCTCATAGTCTGAAACATGAAGAGAACGTATTTCAGGAACGGAGTTCAAATATGAACAATAGCAACAATAAGCGACTCCATAATCATTTCTCCAACAGCTTTCTTCGCTCAATACCACTCAAGATCAGATGGCCGGCCAGGAAAGACCCGGCAATAGGAATCTCTGGGAGCGAACCAACCAACCCAGCAGGAACTATTTGTGCAACAAATATGCAGGAAGAAATGGAGGTGGATTAGCTGGCCATACTTTGAGGAAACCATCAAGTGACATCACAAGATAGACCCTTGAGTGGAACCCGAATGGGGAGTGCCAAGTTGGTTGTCAGTGCGAGGGTGACATGGAGAGAGGAGGTCATGTGAAGAGGAGATGAAAGCATGTGGGAAGACGTGGAAACAGGTGGAAATGTGTGGCGTAGAACCGAACGCTATGGGGATGTGCGGCTGAAGCCTATGTTCCTCAAATGGTTCTAATAGACTCCTCATAGTAATTCCATCACCTTCAAAAGTGAAATGAACCTTTTT